TGCGAATCGTATTGTAGAGATTGGGAGGTGATTAATATCGATGTTGTATATATTGATATAATAAAATAAAAAAAATCGAAATGAAACCAAAGGAAAATGAATATCCTAAGGTTGTCATTTATATATATATATATATATATATATAATATATACATAAAAGGGGGAGATTGAATAATGAGGATATCGTATTGGTTATGAAGATATGGGAGGAAACGTTGATGTTTGACAATCGGAAAAGTTTATTCTCATGGCTAGGTGAATGAATGGAGCAAATTTGATTGTATTTAGCCACTTAGCCTATATTTATCCTACCCGGTCCAAAGAGCCTACGTTACATCCTTAAAAAGTCATCTTGATTCACTCTTGCATGAATTTGATTGTTTCAAAGTAAAAGTTAGACGATAGGTAAATTTATGATTGATTCGATTGATGACCAATTTGAGCGTATCCTGTTGAATTTGTGAAAAGAGATTGAGTGAGGCATATATGATATAATTGTGCACTTGAGAGTCTATGTTTTTCAAAATAACCAAGTTATTAGTCGAGGTGTGTTCTTGTGCTTATTTGAATTCTTCTTGACTTGATTGATTAGTTTGAGATTAGTTTCGCTTGAAATCATTGTCTTTACTCATTTATGTGTTTTCTCTTCTTTTCTTTTTGTTCGGGACGAACAAAGGTCTTAGTGTGGAAGAGTTGTTTGTCCCATTTTTGTTATATTTTTCGTGCTTATTTTATCTTTATTTTCCCCCATTTAGGTAGTTTTTTTCATTTTTAGTTCGTTTAGTGTTTGAGTATGTGTTTTCTTCTCATTTGAGTCTTTGTGAGCTTTTCGTGTATTTTTTCCCGTTTTATGTTTCGTGTTTTGTCGTTTATGATGGTAGGTTGGAAGTCTGACGAGTACTCTTTCCAAGGAAAAATTGGTTTGAAGGCATAAATGAATAAAAGAGTTCGTAGGCGACACGTAGCAAAAAACGGAAGTCAATTCCGAGTCCAGATAAGCGCATACGAGCCTGAGTAAGGAATTGGGAAATTTACTTCGTCACTGGCCGCGAGACAAGTCGCGGGCCGCGAGAGGAGGGTCGCTGGCCGTGAAGGTACGTCGAGGGCGCGAAGGAAATCACAAAAGAAACCAGATTTTTTTGCTCGCTAAAGTCGCGGCCGCGAAGTTGCCTTCGTCGCGGGCCGCGAAGCTTGTCACGGCCGTGAGATCATCTTCGCCGCGGGCCGCGAGACCTGGATTTTTGCAGAATTTAAGGCTTTCTCCCTCTTTTTCTCCTTAGTGGATGATAGTGGCGATTTTTGGGCATGTTTTGGGGCATTTACATCTGAAATTTGGGGCTAAACACTAAAAGAACACCCTCCATTTCCATCCATGATCATCTCTCATTTTGATTCATAATTCTTCTTTAAGATTTTCCTTCATTTTTCCTAAGTCTTTCTTAAGTTGTATTTTGGTTTGTATTGAAGACATTGTTGTACTTGGATTAAGTTTGCATTTGCTCTTGGGGATTTCTCATTACAAGTAAGTTATATATTTCATTTTATCTATGTTAAAGATGGCTTGTTCTAATGTGAATGATTATGTTAAACTTATTATGAACAACTAATCTTCTAGCTAGGGTTAGGGGATAATAGTTTCGGTTCGTTCTTGCTTATGTGTATGTCAATTACTCAATCTTTGCGAGTTTTACTTGTTTTATGATTGAATGCTTGATCACCATTTTAATCTATACAATCGATTTCAAAACCGAGAGGGGCGAACTTGGTAGAACTTGGCTCGTTTAGAGGAGACATGTTCGGAAACGTATTGTCTAGTGTTTATTGTCTCGTTAATTCACTCATTGATGTTTTTTTCCGCATATTACGAGAGTTAGTGAGGTAAAACCACTAAATGAGTTAGTTAATCGAGCTTTTTAACCGAGTTATTGATTACCGTCAAATTTATGTAAAGTCGAAGGGGATTGTCCCTGATACCCTAGTCATTTACATTTCTTGAAATCATCTTCATCATTTTAGGTCGCTTATATTTCTTTGTATTATTTTTATAAGTTACAATATTAAATTGTTCTAGTTAAGAATCAAAAGTAAAAATCAAAACCAACAACTTGAACTAGAGTGCGTAGGATTATTTTTGTTTTCGTGATCGAATAAACGTACAAAATAATCCGGCTAACCTCCCTTGAGAACACGACCCCGGTGTTCGAATCTTTTGATTCTACTCCGGTAAAATAGACTACAACATTAAAATTGATAAAATCATACTTGCGTTCATCTCTGTCTCAAGAATGATTAAATGGATTAGCAATATTATGAATTGAAAATGAAGTGCTGGAAAAAATTGATTTTGATGACATGATTGATAATTTTGCTTCGCAAAATGCAAGAAGGTCCAAATTATTTCAATAGGCTTTTTGGTGAAGGTTTCAAGGGCCAAGTATTCAAGATCGGAGGATGTGATAGTAGTGAAAATGCCCTCGATAGATATTTATTGGCTCAAACAATGTATTCATATTTAAATTTGAATTCTTGTATTTTATGGGAAATGCTCCCCTACCCCGGTGGGCACATGTTAATATGTCCACCACTTATGTGGCATGCACACATTGGTGATGTTAATATATTAAAAAAAATACATCACCAATGTGTGCATGCCACATAAGCGGTGGACATATTAACATGTGTCCACCGTGGGTAGAGGAACATTTTTGTATAGTTTATTTAGTGACATTTATATATATATATATATATATAATACAGGTTTTATGATGAAAATTAAATATATGTGTTGAAGAAAGGGCCATTACCCAATTTTCTCCATGAGCCCCAAAAATTTCAGCCCGCCCTGAGTGTCCGTTTGCGCAAATCCATAAGCAGTTAACGGTCGAATTTGATACTCATTTGACAGGAAATATAATATCATGTAAAGTCGATTTTCAGGCATGCGTTAATAATTTAATTCCATATCCATAGACCAGATACCTGCTGACTAAATGTCATTGACTTATTATTTTCGATGTACTGAATTAATTCCAAAATTTGATTGGTCTGAAGAAAATACGAAAAAAAAAGAAAAGAAAAGAAAAGAAAAGAAAAGAAAAGAAAGAACGAAAACTACAGATTTCATAAAAGCATACTATTTGTCTCTGTTTCTCTTGACAAGGTAGCTTTCTCTAATTGACTATATACGCGTATTGATCACCTCACAACATAGGTACACATTTTTATATGTTGATCAATCACATAACATATATTATACACTACATATATTATACACTAGTACAAGACATATCGTTGACTACACATGTTCTAATTAAAAAATTATATTGAAATTCATTAAAATATATAAAAGATAATTTTTTTTATTTAAGTTTCAAATACTTTCTAAAAATTATATTACTATTGATATTTAAAATGATATTTTCATGTAGAGCTGATCTTATATTATAATAATTTTTCTAGTTCATATTTAATGAATTTATAGATGCCTTTTTTAATTGATATATCATTTTAATAAAGGTACCAAAAAGACCTCCGACCGACTTGCATCGACTTGCTCCTACTTTTCCTCGCCGGTTGAACGACTTCGACCTGCTTCTAGAAGGTTACCCAGATATGGTGAATCGGCTGTCCCAGCTGCCCGATAATACCATCTCTCTGGCATAATATGTTAGAAACTGTTATGAGGTATGAACCAATGAGATGGCACCACGTGGTTTGACCCCACGTGGGGCTTAATTCACCTAAATAGACCACTAAATGAAGCGACCAACTCCAGGTCGATTGAAGTGAAGTGTTGACTGCTCTGAGTCTGAGTTCTGGTCGATCAAACGACCAGCCGTATTCATAGGTCGAATATCGACCAGCCGTCCAAGGACCCTAGCTCGACCTGTTCTCGCTGTCTCCCAACCCCTTATGTTGTCTTCCAGACCGAAGGCTCTTACTCTTGTGACGTTCAACCATGACCACTATGTCCTGATTCTTCTCGACTAAGCGGTTTGCTCTGCCTACTCCACCGGTTTATTCCCTTAGATATGATATCCCATATCAAATAATATTTCATTATTATTAAAGATGACTTAAATTTGTAATAAAAAATAAATTTATTTATTTGATATCTTATATACAAAAATCAAATAACTAAAACAAGTTATTAACTTTTAAAAATATTTATAATTGAAATTAGTCATATATTTTATAATTTTTAAAAAATCGTAATTGCTATAAATAGAATACAAATCTATGTGTACTACTCTAAATTACATTTGTGTATATACATAAAGGAAAGTTTTTGCTTTACGTTCCAAATCATTCTTACAAACTTAAATTATTATTTATACTGAAAATTACATTTGTCATTTGATAACTTTTTAAGATATATTATATGGTGAATTTAATAGATAAATTTTTTAATTGATAAATAATTTATTTTTAATTTTTTACTAATATTGGTATATAATTTAATTTTTATTATAAAGGTAAATATACATTATTACTTATATATGCAATATGAATGTGAAATCAAAATTAATTATGAGACGATTAATTCAATATATTACATATAAAAATCTAATAATAAATTGAAATATTATTAACATTTAAAATATATTTATAATTTAATTAACAGCGTGTTTTATAATTTTAAAAGTCAGGATTTTTGTACGAAGCACTTGAATTCAATATATAGAATTACAAAACACGAAAATTTAGACATGAAAGATGGGGGAATTATGTGTTAACTATTATATTAATATATAAAGGGGGATATGTTGATGTTGACAAATCACTCTTCACGACCACAAGCAGCTATGGCCAAACCCATTCCCCACATCAAATCCTCAATTTTTTCCAGAGAGACAATTTTATGCCTCTCAGCATTTGCAGCAACCTTAATATTATGTTCTCCATGGATCTGCACAACATCATCATCTACATGGCCCCCCATCTCATCTGTCTCCTCCCCAGAAAATACATTTTACGACGACCCACAAACCCATTACACCATGGATAAGCCCATGACCAATTGGGACGAAAAGCGAAGTCACTGGATCCAAAACAACCCTAATTTCGCGTCCCAAAACCGGGTTATGCTCATAACCGGTTCCCAACCCGGCCCGTGCAAAAACCCCAACGGAGACCACTTTCTTCTTCGCTTTTTCAAGAACAAAGTCGATTACTGCAGAATTCACGGGTGGGAGATCTTCTACAACAACGCCTTCCTGGACCCGGCCATGAAATCCGTTTGGGCCAAGGTCCCCATAATCCGGGCCGCAATGTTGGCCCGTCCGGATGTGGAGTGGCTGTTTTGGGTCGATTCGGACGCCATTTTTACGGATATGGATTTCGAGATTCCGTTCGACAAGTACAAGGATCACAATCTGGTGATCCATGGCTGGCCCGATATGATCTACAAGGAGAAGAGCTGGGTCTCGGTCAACACAGGGGCCGTCCTGATACGAAACTGTCAATGGGCCATGGATTTTCTTGACGTTTGGGCCGGAATGAGCCCAAGAAGCCCAAATTACGCGGAATGGGGACGGATCCTAAGCTCGACCCTAACGGACAAAAAGTCCCCGCGGCCAGACGAGCAGTCGGCCTTCGTTTATCTGCTTCTGAAAGGGGATAAAAAATGGACGGACAGGATTTACGTGGAGAACGAGTACTCGCTCCACGGTTACTGGCTGGGGATAGTCGGGAAATTCGAGAGGATAGCCGTGAAGTACTCGGAGATCGAGAGGCGCGTGAAGGGGCTGAGGCGGCGGCACGCGGAGGTGGACGGCGGTGGCCGCCGGGCGGAGATGTGGCGGCACGCGGCTGGGGGAGGGGAGGGACCAGAAGGGTGGCGGCGGCCGTTTGTGACGCACTTCACGGGGTGCCAGCCGTGCAGTGGGGACCACAGCCCGGATTATAAGGGGGACTCGTGCTGGGTGGGGATGGAAAGGGCACTCAATTTCGCGGATAATCAGGTGCTCAGGAATTACGGATTTATGCGGCCGGATTTAGGGAATGGGTCCCGCCTGAGGCCGGTGCCGTTCGATTATCCGGTGAAGATTTGAGGGAGATGTTGATTACACTAGTGTATTCACACCTACATTGCAGGAAAGTATATTTACATAAACAATTAAATAAATATATGTATTATTAAAAACAAAAAAACATTATTGTTATATCGGTAGTATAAATACAATATTGTCTACTATTACTAGTTGTGGATTACTTCTATACAGAGTTATAGACTATGAGACTACTGACTACAGTTTTAATTTGTGTAGTATGAATACAATATCAAAATTTCTTTACACGACACGTTTGCATTATTATGACCAATGACTAAGTGTTTTGAAATCGGGACTCATGGCATCCATATATTCTTCCAACAAAGTACACAACAAGTCATGGGGTTATTAAAAATGTGATTTTGTTTATGATTATGATGAAAAAAAATTGACAGAATTATCCAATATACATATTATTCAATTAACAGTTATTTATATTTTCTCGATCATAATTTTTTTTTTCGCGCATGTAATTAATGACTATCAAAATTTAATAATTTATATGAACTTGCTTCAAAACTTTTAGAAAAAAAATTCAAATAACGTGCACTTTGACCATTAAATTCTTGGCCTGAAAAGGTTTGACAATTAACCACCCTTCTGAAAATATCTATTTAAAATTACGTGAAAAAATTAATGTGGTGCTTTAAATGGTAAATAATCGAAATGCTGCAATCATAATTTAATCAATAATCTATATCTATATATATAGACAGCGGCGGATCTAGAATATAAAGTTTGGGAGGACTAAAACAGTTAATTAATGAACTGAATTGTGTTTGTATAAGTCATGAAAACTCAAGTTCAACTCGCTAACATATTTAAACTTGCCAAATTATAACAATTATTCGAGCTTATATTTTGAATGAGTTGAGTCAGATTGGTCTTATTAGATAGGCCAATTTCGATTGCACATTTTTGTTCGTTTATTAAATAGTCTAGCCGAGTCGGCTCATTTATTAAATGAGCACAAGCTTGAATATGACGTATTTGACTTGACTTGGGTCGAATGCTATCTCTAGAGGACTACATAATTTTTCATCTCTTTCTCTCATTTGTTTTAATGTACTTTCTATAGTTTAAAAAAATATGTAGATTAAGTATAAACATAAATGAATATAAACAAAATCTTATAGACTTATATCTCAACTTAACCAGATATACAAAAGATTGAATGTTATTATGATATTAAAAATAAAATATATAAGTAAATATCATATTTGAAAATAATAAATTATTAATTATAATTCATAAATTATGTGTCATTATAAATAGTAAATACTCTATTTGTTGTTTTTTATACAATTATTTTTATAAATTCACCATAAGAATATTGATAATTTTATGTTCTAATTTTTTATTATAAAAATATTCTTTCAAGTACCCGTGTAATATACGTGTCTCATGCTAATATATATTATAAAAGATTGTAGAAAGAGTACTTACAAAAATATGTAGTTGAAACTATTTAGTTACCAAAAGAATACAATACCTTGTAATAATTTTTGAGATAAATATAACTTATAAGTTGAATATACATTTTAATAATATATATATATATATATATATATATATATATATTGAAAATAATAAAAGTTTGGGAGGGACAATGGCCCACCTAGCCCAAACGTAACTACGCCACTGTATATAGAGATGAAATCATATGAGAATAGTAGATACCAGTGATCTTGAAGTCGCTAGGCACTCGACCAGCGACTAGCGCCTAGAGCCTCTAGGCGTGGCCTAGTCGGCGCCTCGGCGGGCCTAGAAATTAAGATTAAATATCATATTTTTTATTTATTTTCATTACCTACAAAATAAAATTATCTCAACTTATAATAGATCAACACAACTAAGTCCAAATAATAATATTAATATATTATAAGAAAACGTGATAATAAAATAATGTAATTATAATTTAAAAATATTAAAAAAAAATTAAAAATTATCGTCGAGCTCGCCAAGGAGCTCTTAGGCGCCGACAAACCGCCTGGCCCGTCAAGCCCTTCTAGGAGAGCCTAGGTCTGCCTAGGCGCACCTAGCCACCTAAGCAGATTTTTAGTACAAAGGTAGATAGTGAAAGAAATAAAAATGAATCTCTATTATTGAATCTGTCAAATCAATGGTCATGATAAAATAAAATTTATTAATGTCAGTCAAATATGTAATGCATTATTGTAATTAAATACACAGATCATGGTAAAGTTTATATTTGACCACTCACAAGGGATAAAATAGACATTACACATTCACCAATGGATCCCACCACCAACCTCACTAACCCCAATCACTCTCTCACTTACACCTAAAACACACACTGCACACACTCAATGTCACGACTAGGCCACCATCAGCCACCTTCTCGCCAACGGCACGACCAATCGTCGCCACAATTCATGTCGGCTACGTCATTACCGTCGCCACATTTCGCCGCTGCCACTATCCCCAACCATCCCTGCCACCGCCACCACATACTCGCCAGAGGTTCACCACAGATCTCGCCATTGCCGACCTCTGTCGTCTCCCACCCATCTCTACCGTCGCCACTGTTTGTCACAAGGTACGACCCTAGCATCTTGCTCGATGGCGGAATCCCGTAGAAAATCAGTAATCTATCGAGACTCGTGAACGAGCGACAGCAAGAATCTGAATTCCAATGAAAAACTGGTCGGTACGGAGCCGATATACGGTAATTCAATCAGTGTCACAGCCGGATCTGGCGTCGGATTCTGGTCAGACGAGGCAAATACGAGAACTTGTTGGTGTTATATACTGAAAGATTGGCTTTGGATTATATTTACATTTTATCTTTGTTGAATGAGAATCATATTTGATTAAACAAGTTATATGTTACGTTGTTTCGCATTTAGATAAAATGGTTCACTAGCGAGTGAACATAAGATCATTTTATCAGTTACTTGCGACAAAAATTGTGGTTCACAACCTAGATGGAAATGAACAAACCATCAGAACGGTTGTAGTATCAACTGTACAGTTGGTCTTGATTGATTTGTTGCACTAGTACATTTATGTATTGAACAGGATCCCAGAGAGTAGTAGTTTGTTTTATACTGATCGTCGTAAACAAACGTAGTCTCGGTTAATTACAACGTTCTATTAACTCGTAAGATATAAACAGGCATGTGCATGTAGTATCTATTTCTTTGATTCACTAAAGGTGAGATTCATTCAGTTGGGTCAACATTCCTGATGTTTTGGGTAATAGTACTGCATGTACGATGTGCTGTTAGAATATTTACAGTCACCATGTGCGTCAATTTGATGATGTCCCCGAAGTGAGTTCATGAAGGATTGTTATGTTTAACCCTGCAGGTGGATTAAGTTCCGACATCATAATAATAAAATGAACGGTGCTAGCTTCAGTTTACAGGATATTAATTAATTCTTCAATTGAAGTAATTAATTGAAATTATATCTTCAACATGGGGAGGCAATTCGAATAATTATAATTGAAGTCTCGAATATAATTTCGGGAATGATGAGGGAGTACAATAATGTTTCTGTTAGTGGATTGAGATATTATTTAAGTATTAACAAGAGTAGGCTTGGCTCATAGTTAGGCTCACTGCTTAAGTAGCCCAAATCATCACCTCCTTAGGATGCCTACTGTAGTTCTATAAATACATCATTAAGCTCATGGGATTGAGAGAGACACATAAGAGAATAGAAAACCTATCGTGCACATCACATGATCAGCGCCCCTCTCTCTAGTTACCATAGTCGAGCTTTTTCTATGTTTTGTTGCTCCACCGATACAAATCGAAGAGGTGTTTGAGATATACAGTAGAAGATCCTGAGGTACCGAGACCCTGTGATCATCAACCGGTGATCAACCCAGTGACCGCCGGCCACCCGACGTCGACGCAGCCAGCGACGCCGCCCGACCCGCCGCACATCGGCGACTCTGCGACACACCCACGCTGCTCCCGGCGAGCTCCCGAAGAGCTTCTCTAGTTCGACAGGAAGAATCCGGCTGCCCAACGAATTTTGAGTTCAGACGATTTCCTATAAAGAAAATCTACAACAACTCAGAATCTGCAATTTTAAGCCTAAGTATTTAACTCTAAACCTCTGGATCCGTTGTGCGTAAGTTTATTGTTGCAATTGAATTCTGACTTATACATAACGAGATCCTCACCAATCCCAACAGAACCTGCGCGGTGTTTGCTGCCGGGGCTGACGGGCGGTTATGAGAGGATGTCAAGAGAGATGGTATAGCTGATTTGGGACTATGCTGAATATGTAAATTAGATAAGATATAGGGGCATATATGCAATTTTTAAGATTTTTAACTATATTACATTTTAATTCATTGGATGGAGATGCAATTTGTAAGAGAAATACTAAATGCAGAATAACGATAAATAAATTGCACCACAATGTCAACGTGCTACAAAAATGCACAATACTGTTACTCGGTTGGTTCGGTCGAACCCTCTTATCGAAACGTCAAAAATCAAATAATTGAGTCGAACTTTTGTAAAATTCGAGCCGACCAAAATTTTGTCTAGAACTAAAATGAAACCAAACCAAATTAATTAGTTTATTCGATCGGTTAAACGAATTAACCAAAATAAATTATAAATTATTATTTATATTATAAAAATAAATTTAGTATTTTAATATTTTTGTTTAATATTTAATATATTATATTTTTCTGGATATAAGTAATTAATATTTTTACATAAAAATATTATAAAAATTATTTTTTTTTACATATCTTGGTCGTTTCAGTTATTTCAGGTATTCTACAAAAAAAGACATCGAGCCGAAATAGCTGGTAATTAAATGATCTTTTTTTTATTTTGGTCGTGTCGTTTGCTATGGTGCATTATGTTAGTCATTAATGTGCATTCTGTCTAACACTATTGTGCGATTATAGCGCAAACTTTTTTAATAATTTGTCCCGAACCAAACTAAAACCGAACAGAGATAATCGATATATTCGAGCAGTTAACCGAATTAGCATAAATAATCGA